TCGGGTTCGTTTTTCGGGATTCCGAACCCGACTTACCCCGGACCCGACTTACCCCGGATAATTCGGGCGTCCAGAGCCCCACATCATCAGGGGTAACTCGGGTCAGGGCTAACTCGGGTTCGTTTTTCGGGATTCCGAACCCGACTTACCCCGGACCCGACTTACCCCGGATCATTCGGGCGTCCAGAGCCCCACATCATCAGGGGTAACTCGGGTCAGGGCTAACTCGGGTTCGTTTTTCGGGATTCCGAACCCGACTTACCCCGGACCCGACTTACCCCGGATCATTCGGGCGTCCAGAGCCCCACATCATGAGGGGTAACTCGGGTCAGGGCTAACTCGGGTTCGTTTTTCGGGATTCCGAACCCGACTTACCCCGGACCCGACTTACCCATGATAATTCGGGCGTCCAGAGCCCCGAATCATGAGGGGTAACTCGGGTCAGGGCTAACTCGGGTTCGTTTTTCGGGATTCCGAACCCGACTTACCCCAGACCCGATTTCCCCCGGATATTCGGGCGTCCAGAGACCCACATCATCAGGGGTAACTCGGGTCAGAGCTAACTCGGGTTCGTTTTTCGGGATTCCGAACCCGACTTCCCCCGGACCCGACTTCCCCCGGATAATTTGGGCGTCCAGAGCCCCACATCATCAGGGGTAGCTCGGGTCAGGGCTAACTCGGGTTCCTGTTTCGGGAATCGAGTTACCCCGGATACCCGGACCCGAGTTACCCCGGACCCGAGTTACCCCGGATAACTCGGGTGCCCAAGTCGGGGTACACCTGGGCAGATCGCCAGACAGATCGAGGCAGCTCCCCGAGGTCTCTCCAGGGATGTGTTTGTTTCCACCCCACTGGTGCAGGCCCTCCAGGTTTAAGTCGGGCCTGTCCCTCTACAGGCGGTGGAGGAGGAGGAGGAGGAGGAGGAGGAGGAGGAGGAGGAGGAGGAGGAGGGGGAGGAGGGGAGGAGGAGGAGGAGGAGGAGGAGGAGGAGGAGGAGGAGGAGGAGGAGGAGGAGGGGGAGGAGGAGGAGGAGGAGGAGGAGGATCGGGCCGGACGAAAGGGGGGGATTGGGAAAGGGGGGGGTTACGAAATTTGCTGCACGCAGCTGGTTGCGGCCTCACCGAGGGGCACATTCCTCGATGCATGGCCGCCTCCGGCGCCGGGAGGCGCCGGGAGAATCAGCTACGTGAGCTGATTCTCAAACCCCCCTTTTGCTATCCCCCCCTTTCGCCCGACCCGACTGTCCCTCAACAGGGGGGATATTCAAGAATAGTCAAAAAAATGGTCTGGGGGCTCTTTTTCGGTATCCTTTTTGACCATTTTGGAGCATTCCTTCGAAATCCCCCCTGGTAATTAGGGGGACAGGCCCGAGCTAATCCTAGATGGGGTCGGAGTGGGTGGGATCGGACGATCGCGCCGCATCGCCGATACATCGGCGATGCATCGGCGATGCGCTGGCATGCATCGTGGACTTGGGCGATGCATCGGCGACGTCGACGTTAATCGGGGGTGGATAGACCTCCTACCCTGACACGTCGATTAGCGAATTGGCCGTTTTCGGTTCGCGAGAGGGCGTCGCGGCTGTCATTTTTGCGGGTTCAGGTCCGTCGGTTTCGGACCCATGCCGTTTTCACCAAAGGGAGGTGTACTAAACGGAGGTTTGTCCACCGCCGATAGATGGGGTCGGAGTGGGTGGGACGCATCGCCGATACATCGGCGATGCATCGGCGATGCGCCGGCATGCATCGAGGATGTGGGCGGTGCAGCGGAGGCGTCGACGTGAAGCAAATCGGGCTCCACATCGACCCGCATCGGCGATGCATCGGTGATGCGGCGCGATCCTCCGACTTCATCTACTTTGACCCCATCTAGGATTCCCAGAATTGGGCGTCGCGGAATGGGGGGGCGATGCAAACAGGGGGGTGGGCAGCGAGGGCTGCAGAAATGCACCTGTCTCCCCCCCCCACTGATCGGCGACGTAAATATGACCTTTCGCCGCAGTGACCTCTGGTGCGGGCCTACTGGGGTACCCCGATCGCCGAGCGCGATGCGATTGGAACGCATTGCGCGCTTGTGTTTGGTCCCCCCCCCGTGCCCCAAAAAGCTGCGCACCAAAGGCCAGGCCCCTCTTACCCAGGGTTACTCCTGAGTGTGCAGTTGAGTTTCCGGGAAACCCAAGGGCCACTCTTGCGTGTAGTTGAGTTTCGGGGAACACGTAAGATTCGAGTGCGCCGGAACTCGGGTCCGCCGACGCTTCTTGAGGAGCGCGACCTGGGTTTTGTTGTTGGCGTTCTAGCGTTCGAGTGACGGCCGCAGCTGGAGCTCGCGTCCAACCGCAGACTTGGTCTCGTCATTTTCAGGACGGCCCCGTCGGGCCAACCCGAGTCTCAAGTCGGGCCTGTCCCTCTACAGTGGGAACATTCAGAAGCAATCGAAAACTAGTATGGGGACAGTTTTTTTTGTTTTTTTTTCACATGTCTTACTATTTTGTTTTTTGTATTCCCCAACTACCCTGTAGTGTTGGGTCCTCGTTTTGAAGAGACAGCGCCCCGCGTTCCTTCCTTTTTTCCTTCCTTCCTCTTCCCCTCTGCTCCCGCCTCCCATCCCTGCCTCTGCTCTGCGCATGTCCTCGTCGTCGTCATCATCATAAGCATCATCATCATTAACATCATCATCGTCATCGTTATCGCCATGTCATCATCATCATCGACGCCATGATCACCACCGATATCGTCACCATCATCACCACCAATTTCTCCACACCGCTGACACGCTTCGTGGCTCCACAGGCCTCAATGGCGTTGTTCGCATGCATGTGCCCCACCCAGCACAGGGCTTCGCGGCCCCATAGGGAACCCCACCTAAGGCTCCAGTGGCGGTTTTCGCATGCGTCTCCCCCACCCAGGACAGCGTTTCGCTGGCCCCATAGGGAGCTCCACCTGAGGCCCCGGTGGCGGTGTTCGCATGCGTCTCCCCCGCCCAGTACGGCGCTTCGTGGCTCCATAGGGAGCCCCACCTACGGCCCCAGTGGCGGTTTTCGCATGCGCGTCCCCCACCCAGGACAACGTTTCGTGGCCCCACAAAGACCTCCACCTAAGGTCCCAGTGGCCGTGTTTTCACGCGTCTCACCCACCCAGTACAGCGCTTCGCGGCCCCACAGGGAGCTCCACTCAAGGTCCATTGTGGCAGTGTTCGCATGCGTTTCCCCCACCCAGGACAACGTTTCGTGGCCCCACAAAGAGCTCCACCTGCGGCCTCAGTGGCGGTGTTCGCATGCGTTTCCCCCACCCACGACAGCGTTTCGCTGGCCCCGTGGGGAGCCCACCTAAGGCCCCAGTGGCAGTGTTCGCATGCGTCTCCCCCACCCAGTGCGGCGCTTCGTGGCCATAGGGAACCCCACCTACGCCCCCAGTGGCGGTTTTCGCATGCGGCTCCCCTACCCATGACAGCCTTTCGTGGCCCCACAGGGAGCTCCACCTAAGGTCCCGGTGGCAGTGTTCGCATGCGTCTCCGCCACCATGGACAGCGTTTCGTGGTTCCACAGGGAGCTCCACTTCAGGTCCCAGTGGCAGTGTTCGCATGCGTCTCCCCCACCCAGGACAGCGTTTCGTGGCCCCACAAAAAGCTCCAGCTACGGTCCCAGTGGCAGTGCTCGCACGCGTTTCCCCCACCCAGGACAACGTTTCGCGGCCCCACAGCGAGCTCCCCCTGCGGCGGTGTTCGCATGCGTCCCCCCCACCGTACCCAGGACGGCGTTTCGTGGCCCCATAGGGAGCTCTACCTACGGACCCAGCGGCGGTGTTGGCAAGCGTCTCCCCCACCCAGGACAGCGTTTCGTGGCCCCACATCGAGTTCCACCTGAGGCACCCGTGGCGGTTCTCGCATGCGTCTCCCCCACCCAGGCCAGCGTTTCGCAGCCCCACATGGAGCTCCACCTAAGGCCCCGGTGGCAGTGTTCGCATGCGTCTCCCCCACCCAGGACAACGTTTCGTGGTCCCACAAGAGCTCCACCTACGGTCCCACTGGCAGTGTTCGCATGCGTCTCCCCCACCCACGACAGCGTTTCGTTGGCCCCGTAGGGAGCTCCACCTGAGGCCCCAGTGGCGGTGTTCTCACGCGTGTCCCCCACCCAGTACAGCGTTTCGCGGCCCCACACGGAACTCCACCTGGGTGGAGCGACTTGCGGGGCTGCGGAGCCCTGCATGGCGTACTGCAAAGCAGGCGCCGTCTCGTGGCCCACAGAAGGAGACACCCTCACACATGTCGCGCCCCCCCCCCGAAGAGACCCCACCGAAGATTCTACACGCGATTGCGGCACCTACGTCCTTCGCCAGGCTAATTTTTATTTTGTCGTCCAAAATCCGTCTGTAGGGGGACACGCCCGACCTAAAGCTCGCGTCCAATTTCAGATTGGGTCTCGTCATTTTCAGGACGGCCCCGTCTGGCCAACCCGAAGGTTAAGGGGCAACGGTAAGGGGGGGGGATGGGCAAAAAGGGGGGGGATACATCGACCTCCAGTCGCCCATGGATCGCCGATAAAAGGCGCCCGAGAACCCCAGTCTGCCCAGGAAGTCGCGGATGTCGATCCCCGGGGGCCATCGCCGATCCATCGGCGATGCATCGCCGACTCCAGGTCGATGTCGCCCCCCCCTTATGCCAGTGCCCCCCTCTCTCTTGGCCCCCTCGAGAGTTGATCGCCCCAGGGCTTGCCTCCAGAAGTCACCGCCCCCCATGACTTCATCGCCCCCCCTCAAGAGGTTCTCGCCCCCCCTCAAGATTACCAGCCTCGAACTTATCCCATATGCTCCAGGCTGGTAATCGAGAGCTCATCCCCCTCGAGAGGTGCTCGCCCCCCCATCGAGTGGTGCTCGCCCCCCCTCAAGAGGTTCTCGCCCCCCCTCGAGAGGTGCTCGCCCCCCCACATGACTCCATCGCCCCCCCTCGAGAGGACCTCGCCCCCCCTCGAGAGCTCACCCCCCAGCGCCGGCGCGCGGCGCGAGGCCCGGCGCCGAGCCCGCCGTGGCCGTGGTCTCCGCCGTGGTGCAGGGCGCGGATGCGCTGGGGCTGCTGCCGGCGCCCGCGCGGGCGGTCGCCGCGGGCCCCAAGGGCGCCGGCGCGGGGAGGCATACGCCGGCCTCGAAGTTATCCCCATCCTTAAGATTGACACGCCAGAAGGTGATGAGAACGTCAATGGAGGATGACGATTAATAGATGACCGGGGGTCGTGTTCACACGGCGGCGCCCGGGATGATGATTTGAAAAAACCGGCCCTTGCTTGTGTGGTCGTCGCAGAGTCGGGCCTTCTGTGACGACCACACAGGCGAGCCCTGCTTCTGAGCTGTCCCCCCGCCGATGTGGGAAACTTTTTTTTTAATCGTTCCCCCTTCCTTTTTTTCTTAATCGTCATCCCATATTAGGAATGCACCCTCAGAAACTGAGGAAAGTCCTTAGGATCGCCATCGTGAGGAAGCGATGCCCAGCATAGGGGTAGGGATGTGTTCCAGGCTGGTAAAGGCAGACGAGGGCAGGACTGGGTAAGTCGGGCATGCCCCTCGACAGGAGGAGTATGCAGATCTGGTCAAGCAAGTAGTCTGGGGGCGGTGTTGCTATTCTTCCTGACTGGTGCTTCATTCGTTTCAGATCATAGTTCACTATTCCTCCTGGATTCGCCTGCGGGAGGACATGCCCGACCTAAAGCCAAGGCGAGGATACAGTCGGATGAGGACAAATCGGGAATTTCTCGAGGCCTGTTCGGGGAGGGGGGTGCAGTCGGGGAGGGGGTCGAGGTTCAAGGTTTTCGGAAGTTTTCGTTGGATATCGACAGGATTCCAGCCTCGAAGTGCTCTCCAGCAGCTGCACCTCGCCGAGAGCATTTTGAGCGTGCCTGGATCGCCCCGAACGGCCGCCGGAGGCCCGAGTTATGCCCCGAAAACCAGTTTGGACGTTTCGGGGAGGGTGCCCCAGTGTTCTTCGTGGTTGCCGGATGTTCGTCGTGCATCCCGGAGGGGGAGGGTATCTTTGGATGCCCTGCTCGTTTTCACTGGCGGAGGGTCTCCTGTTCTTGAGGGATGTTCTTCTGGCCTAGGTCCGACTGCACCCTTGCCCCGAGCGCCGATCAGTGGAGGAACAGGGGCCGATACTCGAGCAGTGGTGAAGCGTCCTGGTTTGCCCACCAGGAAATGTTCTAGGAACCTTTCGTGGTTTGCGCGAGATGTTCTCAGGGCATTTGGTCGGCTGAGACTGTTTTGGTCCAGTACATCGGGTTTATGTTCTGAGACAATTGTTTCCGTTATTAGAGAAGCGCAAGAACATGTTTTGGTAGGCCTATGGGGATGACGTGCCAGTCGGCCCTTGTTCATGATACCGCAACCTTTGCCCCGTTGCCCTTTTTCCCAACCATCCTGTGGTTTTGGGCCATCGTTTTGAAGAGACAACAGCGCCCCGCGGTCCTTCCTGCCTTCCCGCTGCCCCCTCGCCCCCCCCATCCTCCCTCCTCCCATTCCTGCTTCTGCTCGCCGCATGTCCACCATGTCGGTACACCACTCGCAAGGATCGTGGCCCCATAGGGAGCTCCACCGAAGGCCCCAGCGCCAGGGTTTGCATGCGCCCCCCCCACCCATTGTGGCACACCCCTGACGAGGATCGCGGCCCCACAGGGGCTCCGTCGAAGGCCCAAGCGGCAGGGCTTGCATGCGTCCCCCCGCCCATTTCGGCCCACCGATCACGAGGATCGCGGCCCAATAGGGAGCTCCGTCGAAGGCCCCAGCGGCAGGGTTTGCTTGCGTCCCTCCGCCCATTTCTGCACAATCCTCACGAGGATAGTGGCCCGATAGGGAGCTCCACCGAAGGCCCCAGCAGCAGGGTTTGCATGCGTACCCCCGCCCATCTTGGCACACCCCTCACGCGGATCATGGCTCCATAGGGAGCTCCACCGAAGGCCCCAGCGGCAGGGTTTGCATGCGTCCCCCCGCTGATTTCCGCACACCCCTCACAAGGATTGTGGCCCCATAGGGAGCTCCACCGAAGGCCCCAGCGGCAGGGCTTGCATGCGTCCCCCCGCTGATTTTAGCACACCCCTCACGAGGATCGTGGCCCCATAGGGAGCTTCACCGAGAGCGGTACCCACAACGCGGTACTCACAGCTGCACATGGTTGGGTCGTTCGCCAGGATGATTGTTGTGATCTCCCCCGAGATTTTGGCGTTGCAGCTTTTCCCAAGCGGGAGAGGTTGTCCTGCTTCGGCCCCGAAGCCCTCGCAGATCGATCCGGCTTGAAACCTGCAGCAGAATGGTGGTGTCTAGGGCTCTGGTCGTGATTGTTGCCGATGTTGCCTGTTTCCAGTGTCGGATCTCACTTTTCCCCGTCTGCGCCTCCTGGGCTTGATACGCCTGGACATTCTGGTCAGAACGCCCCCGGGAAAGGTCCACGGAGTAGCAGCATCTGTACCTCCAGGATTCCTCAGTCGAGGTTCACACACACTAGCGTAAGCCTAAACTTTCGGAGCTCCGCTCGGAGTTCTTGGATCGGCAGCATCAGTGCCGCAGGGAACGGAAATGCCTGAGTGCGTTGGCATCTGCGGAGTAGAATAGGGGGGGGGGGCACTTGATGAGGAGATCGGGGAATCAGCAACAGCTACAGTCGGCCCTGATTAGTAAGTCGACTCTGCCAAATCAAGGGTACCCTTGTGTCCTGCGTCTCGCGTCCCATGCCATCTACATTTCTATGGCATCGTGTCCCTCAGAAGGGCCTTATGTCCTCTCCAGACACGTCAGACCGTAGAGCACCCCAACCGAAGTCAGAAAGGTCCTGTCGCGGATGATACTGACCCTGCCGCTGCCGAAGGCCAGCTTTGTTTCGCCGCCTCTCTCGCCTTGAGCAGCGTTGGCACGGTACGCTTGAGCGTTTGGTGGCCTGTGGTGTTGCAGGGGTGGACCTAAACTGTGTTTTGGCGATTTCGTGAGCCGTTTTCGTTTCGACTTCGTTTTTGCGGTGCAGGCGAATTGAAGACAAAACGAGCGGAAACGAAAACATAACGAAACCGAGCAGCATTGCTTAGGTCTAGCCATGTGGTGTTGCTCGTGTGCAGCTGCACGAGTCGTGCTGTGCTCACCCGTGATCGGTCCGGCGCCAGGCGCGCCCGATGTCCGGTAGCGGGCGGGGAGCGCCCCCGCAGTGGCGCGATGGTTTGGCACTTGCGATCCGCTGGCCCTGTGGTGTGCGACCGTGTGGGCATGCTTGCCTGGGAGGGGGGGAGAGAGCGGGGCGGACCTAGAGGGAAAAGGAGCAGGTGCGTATTTCTGCAGGGTTCCGGCCGACATGCCGAGTCATGTCGCTCTTCCCGTTCCTCCCTCGTCAGACCGCCACCCCTCCAGGCCCTCCCCCTCAAGCCTACCCCCAAGGCCAGGCCGCTCCCCCCGCCAACCCCCTCCACTCCGTCCCCTCCCCTTCGTCCTCTGGGGCCCGCAGACCAACCTGGAAGGGATACATGCCTCGTGGTGTTCACAGGCCTCTCGCGTTATGCCCACAGGCTGGTCGTCCCCAGAGTCGCACATGATGCCAATTCTCGGAACAAGATTCGGCTCCTGTCCTCGGCAGCGTTATCGACACTGGCCGTTGCGAAGCAGCCTTGGTTGCCCTTGCTAGTTGCACGGCTGTCGTGTGCCAGCCTGTTTGCATGTATGCACAAGGCCGTGGTGTGTGCGGGCATCTGCGCGCTTGTGCACACAGCATTATGGTGCGGACCCGTCCGTGATGGTTTGTGCAACCTGGCTCCATGGTGTACTTATAATCCTATCTTTTGTGATGTGCACGGACTGTGTGTAATCCGTTGACGTGTTGCTCACAGGCCCAGACTCGTCATCCGTGGTGTACGCAAGTTCGCGTGTGTGCGTGCATTGGCGGATGGTGTGCGCAAGATTGTCTGCAAAGGTGTTGTTGTTGTAGGCGCGCTTGTGGAACCGGCTTCGTGGTGGTGTACACCGTGCTCAGGTCGTGCGTTACGATTTACGGAGGCTCGGATGCATGGTGTAAACAGGCGCGCGTTGCGCCTGACAAGATTGTGTGTTTGTCTGTGTGTTCGCGCACAAGTTTGTGGTGGAGTGCATCAGCCTTGTGGTACCCACGTGCCTTGTGGCGCCACCAATTCGTTCCGTTCTTGCGGTGTGCATAGGCCTGTGGTTGTGGCCTACACGAGGTGTGCACTGGTGTGCGCCGGTGGTGTGCGCAGGCGTGAGACAGTATGCCTAGATCAGCTTGTATGTGCGTGCGCACGGGCCCGTGATGTGCATAGGCATTGTTGCGTCAGGCGTGTCTCTGTATTTGGAGGGAGGTTCCAGGGATGCGTTGTTGGGGTGCGCTGCGTCATGCCCAAGCTCGCCTGTCCACCCTGCCCCCGCTCAACGCCTGTCTCTCCATGCCCCCGAGTGAAAACAGGCAGCTTCGTTGTGCGAGGCAGTGTGGCTTTTTGTTTCGCGGAGCCACCGCATTCAAAGAAGGACCGTGGATCCATGTTTTCCCAAGGAGAGCGTGCATAGAGTGATCAACACACCTCTCGTCAGGAGAGGGGAGTCTTGACCGGGGCCGGCCGTCGCCATCGCACCCGACGCCTTGTCCCAAGGCCCCCGCCCGCGGGGGTCATTTACCTGGTGGGCGGAGCTTTGGCCGCCGCCGTTGTCGTCGCCCAGGGGGTCCTGCCCATCGGATCGGGTCCCGCTCACAGCCTCTTTCCGAAGGATCCAAGATGGACCCGCACACAGACCCCAGCCCGCAGGGCCCTCACCCATCAAATCCCGCTCATGCCTGGGCTCACCTGCCCAGTGGGCGGAGAAATCTGGCCGTCGTCGCCGCCCTGGACGGTATGCACCGCCCTCGGGGCCGCAGTCGCATGGTTCCCAAACCACGACGTCCGTGACGAGGGGTCTGCATACACTATGGGAGGCCCCAGGGACGGCGTCGGGGGGCCTCGCATGGGCATCCCTGCTCCCTATTCCCTCGCCGCTGCCACCGATGGAGGCTCCTACAGCGACGCCTGCAACACCGATGGAGGATGTTGTTCTCAGGATCGCGAACGCGGGCTTCACTGGATGGCGTCCAAACGTGGCGGAGGTCAAGTTCTACAGCGACCAGCTGTGCACAAAGAGGGTCACTCGAGAGCGCTTGCACAATAGCTCGGGTTGGAATCACGCGCCGGGTCAGAAAAAGTACACCCCGGACCTCGCGATTGATGGAAGTGAGGCTGCTCAATCACATTGGCGCCCTCAGTGCTCTTCATGTCAGCCTGATGAGGCTTGGATCGAGTTTGCCTTTAAGCCATCCACTGTCATTCAGTGCATCGAAGCCAACAACCTCGGTAAGGGATCAGGTGGGGGAAAGCACTGGGATGGCGGCATTCGGGTGTATAACGTCACAGACCAGATCTACAGGGACGGTGCTCGTCAAGTGGTGGTCGGATATGCCGAGGGCAACACGTTCATCTTGGAGGACCCTAACCGGCCGCAAGCGCACCGAAACGCACTCATTCAGTAGAATTCCGCATGTGTACCAGGTGCAACAGCTCATGACAGTGCAAGCCCCAGCAGCGGGGATTCTGTTGTTCTTGGATCAACGCGTGTGCAAAGGGCAACATACATATCGACGCAGAGTGCAAGCTCAGCGCAATCTTGATCTAGTGGGGGCAAATGTTTCTACGGGCCTTCGGTCCATCCCGCGGTTGCATGTGAGAGACCTCTTGGATGCCCGTGGCGATGTCTCACGAGGCCTCTCAGAAGTCTCTTCAAGGTCGTTCTGGGAGTGTCTGGGGGCCTCTGGGGGCAGAGATCCCCAGTTGCAGGTTGTGAAGATCGTGAAACTTTCGAAGTTCGAAGCCTTGGTTTAAGCGTTCCATCACTAACATCTCGCCACGGTCTGGGACTGCTGCTGGAGCAGCGGAGTCTTGCGGTCGCGCTGTCTCGCTCTTCCCCGCGACGCTGCTCACCCACGCGTTGCCCGCGCATTTTTCTGTTGCGTGGAGGGCAAATATTGAAATCTGACATGCCGTTTCGATGGATCTTCGAGGTTTGAAATCTGCAAAAAAGGTGATCGCAAGACGGATTGAGTCTCGAGGCGCAATAGCCCATGCGGATTTCACCCCGAGCCCTCCACCCCGAGAGAGTGCTCAGGCTGCCCTGCCGATCTGCCCCGCCGATCCGCCCCGTCGCCGCCTTCTCAAGGCAAGACGTGCGTCACCGCATCCCGCGCCCGCGCCCTGCCTTGGGGCTGCCCGGGCAGAGGGCGGACGGGGAACGGCCGAGGCCGAGGAGGGGGGGGGATTGTTGAGCGCCGGTCGAAAATCACCGGCTTGCCAGGAGGAGCGCGGGCCTACGACGGCCACTCTCACGACCTCCGTGGTGGAGGCCTCTCGCGGAGGAGTCGGGTGGAGACGTAGGGCTCGAGGGAGCGGGAGCTCGGGCTTGCCGGCGTGCTTTGACGGGCGCGTCCTGGATTTTGTTGGCGGTCAGGTTGTCTTGGGATGTCTGCAGCGGGAGATTGCGTCAAATTTCGGATTGGGTCTCGTCAGTTTCATGATGGCCTCGTCAGGCCAACCCGAGTCCCCCGTACCCGAGTCGTGCTTCTCCCCGAGAAAAGTGGGAGGTGCGGATCCATGTCCTCGGCCTCACGGTCTGGACTCGTCGGCCGCGGCCGCGTGGAGTCGGGGCAGCACTGCGCGGGTGCCCCGCGCCGGGCGCATGCATCCACGGGGTCGCGAGCCCGTCGGATCGCGAGGGCACGCGGCGTGGATTGACGAGCGAACAACACACACACACACACCTATACCCATGGGGAGGTCGGAGGGCGAGGGACTGGCTGTGGGTATGGGTGCGGGTTGTTGGACCCCGGGGGAGGCTCCCGTTCGATCGGGGCTCCCCGTCCGACCGCACGCACTCACAGCTCACTCCGTCCCCCCTGCGGGTATGGGTGCGTGTCGATCGCTCGTCATGGGTAGTGGCACTGTCGTCGTCGGTGAGGCCCCCGCGGTCGACATCTTCAGCGAAGACCTGAAGGCGTTCTCGTTCCTGTACGCGTCGGAGTACACGGAGCGCTCGCCCAAGAGAGACGGGGCGCGCGCCGCCCGCTCCCCTCCGCCCTTCTGTGGCCAGGGCTCCATCCATTTGGTGTTCCTCCTCCCTCCTCCTCCTCCTCTTCCTCCTCCTCCTCCTCCTCTTTTTTCTCCTCCTCCTCCTCTTCCTCCTCCACCTGCTCCTCCTTCTCCTCCTCCTCCTCCTCCTCCTCCTCCTCCTCCACCTGCTCCTCCTCATCCACCGTCCTCCTCCTCCTCGGTCGGGGTTGTTCCTCTCTCTCTCTCTCTCTATCTCTCTCTCTCTCTATGTGCTCCTCTTGTCTCTCCGACTCTCATCTCAGCCATGGGGTTGCCAGAGGTGCCCCTGGCCCGAGGTGCCCCTGCCCCGGCGAGGGGAGCCTGCGGGACTCCGCGCGGGGCCTCCCCCGAGAGGCGGGGGCGCGCTCCTGGGGCCAGCGCGGCCTCTGGCGGCACCCGCCCAGTGCTCTCGCCACTTCGCTCCCCTGCCCCTGGCGTGTCCGCCTCCTGCGCCGCGCGAGCGCGCTCCTCCTCCTCCTCCGCCTCCTCCTCCGCCTCCTCCTCCTCCTCCTCCTCCTCCTTCTCCTCCTCCTCCTCCTCCTCCTCCTCCTCCTCCTCCCCCTCGCGGCCGCCTCGTGCGTTTCCTCCCCCTCGCCTCCGGGCGCATTCGCACAGCGCGCGTGCGGGACGGACTCTGCCGCGCTGCGACTGTGAGAGCGTCCGCCTCCTGCTCGAGCCTCGGCCCCCACCCTGCTCGTGCGGCGTGGCGGCCTGCGCCTGCCCCCCCCCCTTCGGCCAGAGCGGCAGCGCCAGCACGGGTGGCGTGGCAGACCGCGCTGGAGGAAAACCGCCCAGAGCGTGCTGCAGCCGGCGCAGCGCGGCGTTCTCGTCTCGGAGGCGGATGGACCTCCCACCCTGACACGTCGATTGAGGAATTTGCCGTTTTCGGTCTGCGAGAGGCAGACCGCCCTGGAGGAAAACCACCGAGAGCGTACTGTTTTTACCAGCCTCGAACATATCCCTGTCCCTGAGATCGACATGCCAAACAGCGATGACAGTCTTAGGGATGCGCCCTCAAAAAATATGGGAATCCCTGAGGTTGGCATCGTGATGAGGAGATGCCCAGCATAGGGATAGGGATATGTTCCAGGCCGGTAAACTGTAGCCGGCGCAGCGCGGCGTTCTCATCTCGGAGGTGGCTGGACCTCCTACCCCTGACACGTCGATTGAGGAATTGGCCGTTTTCGGTTTGCGAGAGGGCGTCGCGGTCGTATTTTGTTGCGGGTCCAGGTCCGTCGCTTTCGGTCCCAGGCCGTTTTCACCAAGGGGAGGCTTACTAAAGGGAGGCTTGCTTGTCCACCGCCGATCATCGGGAAGCCCCGCTCTTTTCCCGCCCCTCCCCGACCGAGCTTCGGATGGGCCCCCCCCTTCTGTCAGAGGCCGGGCGGAGGCGGGCAAGCCCGTGGCTGCTAACACAGATCTGCGGGAGATGGTTGTTGTTTTCTTCTGGGAAGCAGCCCGCTTCCTATTCAGTGCGCTGAGCTTGATTCCTCGAATGTTTTTTTTTTTTTTTTTTTTTTTTTTTTTTTTATATTTTTTGTTTTTTTGTTCGTTTCTTCCGGGGAAACCGTTTTAGCAGCCACGGATCTGCCAGCCTTCGCCGAGCGTCCAATTCTGCCATTCCTGTTGCGGCTCTCTGCCTTGTGGCGCTCGTCGTCCGGGGCAGGTCCGTGTGGCCCCGGGACCCTGGTAGCACTCGGCAAAAAGGGGCTCGTGCTCTCGGCCTGCGGCCCCGTGGCCCCGTCTCGACTGCAGGGGGGCGCGGGACATGAGCAGGGCGGTGATTCTCACGTCTGCAAGGCTCGAGGGGGCGCAACCATGGATCGGTGATCGTGGATTAGTGCTGGGTCCCGTTTCCGCCCAGGGTCGGCGCGATCCGTCGCAAGACCGGGCGGTAGATTCCAGCGATCGCAAGCTACCGCAGGCATGTGCAACCAGGGCAGACACGCGGGCAGCCACGCGGGCAGGCGTAAGTACACATGGTTACGACAGCGGGCGGCATGCAAGTACGAGTTGGGTGCCAGTGAGCGCATCGAGCGTAGATCGAGCAAACAGACGCGTCCACGCGTGTGCAATCATCCAATCGAGCAAGCTTACGCATGCAAGCAGGCTCACTATGGCAAGCAAGGGCAAGCACGCAAGTGCACGCAAGCGCCAGCAATTAAGTACAAGGAAACGCCATCAACAATCAGCATAGAAGCGAATGCATGCGAGCAGACCACGTCATAGAGCAATCAATACATAGGTACAGCAGCGTCGGCGCGCGCAACAAAACGATCGAACACGTGATCTATCTCACCACGCAAGCAAGGGTTGAGCATCCCGTTCACGCATTTGTCAACATGCACACACACGTGGGCGCAACTAGTTCAAGACAAGCAAACGACTACCCGGCCACACACCTGCGACGATGAAGCAGCATCCGGGAGCTCAGTTTGTCTTTCCGGAGAGCGCGCGCCCTTCAGCAGCCAATCGCACAGGCACCCGCATGCTTTCAAGCAGCGGTCGGTGATCAAGCCAGCTCGAAGAGGAGGAGGAGGAGGAGGAGGAGGAGGAGGAGGAGGAGAGGAGGAGGAGGAGGGGGGGAGGAGGAGGGAGCTGCAGGAGGAGGAGGAGGAGGAGGAGGGGGTGGAGGGGGTGGAGGAGGAGAAGGCGGGGGGGGGGGGAGGAGGAGGCGGGGGGGGGAGGGGGAGGGGAGGAGGAGGAGGAGGAGGAGGAGGAGGAGGAGGAGGAGGAGGAGGACGAGGAGGAGGAGGCGGAGGAGGAGGAGGAGAAGGAGGAGGAGGAGGAGGAGGTCGAAGGTCGAGCAGCGGTGGAGCTTCGAGGCTCGATCGAAGGTTCGCCGGACGGCCGGGACCCGAGGGCTTCGAGGCAGGGGGGCCCCGCGGTCCGAGGCCAGACGGCCACGCTGCCCTCGAGCGTCAAGAGCGAGCGCGCAGCGCGCCGTCCTCTTGGTCGATCCTTGACCCTCGAGCCTCGACTCTCGATCGTCGTTCTCCTGTTCGATCTTCGAGGGTCGAGGGTGGAGTCTCGAGAGTCGATGGCATCCTCGAGCCTCGGTCGCCGGAGGCCGAGCGGTGGTCGGGCCCGGAGGAGACCGAAGCTCGAGGAGCAAGCTCTTGGCCCGGGGGCCGAGGTTCAGGGTCCTCGAGGCTCGAGGACTCGTGGACCCATGGGCGTCGGCGCTCGAGGCCTCGAGCGCCGACCCTCGATCCTCGGGAGCCGATCCTCCATCCCGCCGCACGAGGGTCAGACGACTCCGAGCCACGACTCTCGGGGCTGCACCCTCTCGCTTCCCGAGGTCCGGCGGTGGGTCCCCGAGGTTCTGTTGGGCGTTGCGTAATAGGGGGGTCATAAATGGGGGGGTGGCGAGGGTGGTCCGAAAAGGTACCCAAACGGTGCCTAAACGAGCCCCCTCGGGCTCCGGAGGGGCCCGAAAGGGGCACGAAAGGGGACCGTTTCTGACCCCCCCATTTATGACCCCCCCATGAAGCCACGCCCAATTCTGCCGAGACGTCGAGCGTCGATCTCCGAAGTTCGCCAAAGCCTCACCGCCGAGGCCCCCCTGGAGGGGCGCGAGGAGGTCATCGCGCTCGGCGCGTCGCGGCCTGCGCCGGAGGGCTGCCTTACCTCCTGGTGAGTCTCGCGTTAAGTCGGGCGTGTCCCCCTACAGAGGGGATTTTCGTTGAGAAGTAAAAAGGAACCCAAAAATAGTCAAACAATAGTCCAAAAAATAGTTTGGGGATTATTTCCTTGCGTATTTTTTGACCTTTTTGGGGCATTTCGGGTTTCTTACTTTCGTCGAAAATCTTTCTGTAGGGGGATACGCCCGACATCAGTCTCGCGAGGGCGCGCAGGTACGGTGGGGGCGTTCGTTAAGGAATGCGCCCAGGAGGCTGCAGGCCCTGGAAGAGTCCTTATCTGATGAGGGCGGCGGTGATATCCGTGGCCAAGCTCCGATTGGAGTTCCACCGGCCTCCAGACCACGGATCCCTGATCTAAGGGTCTCATTCTCCAATGCCCCCCACCATGCCATGTCCGCGCATCGCGGGCCGCGAGGCGCGACGTTCGTTGACGCAGCCGAGATCGCACGGGGCCAGGACGAGGATCAGAGCGTGGCAGAACGCTCCGAGAAGGCGGCGGCGCCCGAGGCAGACTCCAGAATGGCTTGATCTCATCCTCGTCCCAGCTTCGTTTTCTGGAGTCGACCCAGCCGAGACGTCATCTGTTTTGCCGGCTTTCCATCACCACTACCATAGGTAAGGAAGGGAGGAGGGGGAGGAGGAGAGGGAGGAGGAGGAGGAGGAGGAGGAGGAGGAGGAGGAGGAGGACCTCCACATCCTCCCTCCCCCCCCGTCGTGCCCATGGTAGTGGTGGTGGAGAAGCGGCCAATCATAGCCCTCGATCTCCGGAGTGCGACCGCGGCGCCTCGAGCCTCTCGTGGCACCCCCCGTGCGGCGCAGGCGGGCGCGCGACGGGCGCGCGCCGAGCGCCCCGTCGCCCCCGGCGGCGGCGCCAGGCCACCCCGAACCGGCCGCACCTGGGTCCGCGGGCGGACAGCGTGGGCACCGTGCAGGCTCGCGGGGCCCTCCTTTGCCTCCTCCCTTTCCTCCTCCTCCTCCTCCTCCTCCTCCTCCTCCTCCTCCTCCTCCGCCCCCTCCTCCGCCTCCTCCTCCTCCTCCGCCCCCTCCTCTGCCTCCTCCTCCTCCTCCTCCGCCCCCCCCTCCTCCTCCTCCTCCTCCTCCTCCTCCTCCTCCTCCTCCTCCTCCCTTTCCTCCTCCTCCGCCTCCTCCTCCTCCTCCTCCTCGTCCTCCTCCTCAGGTCCGCCCCGGCCCCAGGGTCGCTTGGCGTCGCTGGGACGTGCCTTATTGTTCTCGGCGGGGACCATTGGTCAGAGGAGGAAAAGGCACCTATACTGCTGCCCTTGCCTCGTTTTCCCATTTCTTGGGCCTCCGGGGCGGCCCTCGTCGCCACCGTTGGCTTCGCCTCGAAGTTCTGGTCAGAACGCTTCCTGGGAGAGGTCTGGGGAGTTGCGGTATCGGTACCTTTTGGTTTCTCCTCTCCTCTCCTCCTCCCTTTCCGCCACCCCGTCGCCGTAAGGCAAACGACACCATCCCACCTGCGGCCCTCCAGTTTGCGCTACAATCCATCGGGGGCCGCAGCGCATACCATGCTCGATTCAGAAGCATGGCGTCAGGGGTCCGGGCGGTCCCTCCGAATTCGCGGACCAGAGCTGCTCGATTCTGTTTTGGCTCAAGTTCGATTCTGGATCGATGGAAGTCGACGGCCGCTCGACGCAGCATCGGCACGTGCGTGGAGCGAGAGGCCACGAGAGGGTCCCCAGCACGAGCAGCTGACGCGCGCCCCGCACGCCCAGAGCCGCCGACGGCGCCATCCGTCGGTCTGCGGGGCGGCGATCGGCGCTCTGGGTCTGCGAGTCTGCCTCTAAGGAGGAAGAGGAGGAGGAGGAGGAGGAGGAGGAGGAGAAGGAGGAGGGAGGAGGAGGAGGAGGAGGAGGAGGAGGAGGAGGAGGAGGAGGAGGAGGAGGAGAAGAGGAGGAGGGAGGAGGATCAGGGAGGAGAAGGAGGAAGAGGAGGAGGAGGCACTGACAGAAGTCTGTCGCCTGGAAGCCAGACCTGGGCCCGTGCCCCGGCTGTGGGGGCCATCTGTGGTGTGGAGCGTGAGCAGGAACAGACTGCCTCTGTGCCCTGACGACGCAGCTGCGCCATCCGTGCGGTGGCGTTTGCGGAGCCGTGGAATTGGGGCCATTCCCTTGTCGCTCTCCTGTGCCCTATTCGGCTTCGATGCGCCCCTCGGCTGTCTCAGCCGTGTCTTGGGTTCAAGTTGCCGCTGACCGAAAAATCCGGAGGTGGTCAAGCTCGACGCCAGAGAGTCGCAGACTTCAGCTCCCTCCTCGCCGGGCCCCTTGCGGCTGCGGCATGGGTTCCCTGGTGCACCCCTGCGGCCGACTTTCGACTTCCAGCTCCAGCGTCCTGGATCGAGGCGGGGCGGAGCTGCTCGTTTTGGTTAAGGACGGGGGGGATGGGCAATCATCACGGTTTCCTGATGCTGGGTTCCGCTTGGGCCATCAGCAAGCAACAAGACGATCTTAGATCAAGGGTTGGCCCGGGAAAGGAGTCGAGGCTCCAGATGCTGTCGTTTCGCGAAAGTACATCGATCCGCCGGGTGTCTGGAGTGCGGCCGAGGAGCGGTCGGGATGATGTTCTAGACGCTTCACGTACGCCCACCAGCCAAGTTTTGCTCCTGTCTACCCAGCCCTCGGGTATGCGCCGTCCGCGTCTTCTCGGATTACCTGCTGGCGCTGGTCATGTCGATTGGCCTGTCGTCCTGCCTGTACGACAAGTGTTGTTCCTGTCTACCCTCGGGTCTGTGCCGCCCGCGTCTTCTCGGGTGACCTGCTCTTCACGGGTGGCTTGGTGCTCGGCGCCCGGCATGGTTGGCCAGTGGCTCGTCCACCTGCGCTGCCTGCACAGCCTGGCCGCCGAGGAGCTTCGTTTCTCTCGCGCCATCTTGGCTGCGTTCCCGCCCTTGGTGCTCGCGCGCGCTTCAAGCTCTACTTGTACGGCAATGTGTGCTGCCTCCTCCGCCTGCATTCTACGTCTACGTGCCGCTCTGAGTGCTTCGCCCCACGCCGGGTTTTGCTATCATACTGGTTTTGCTTTTCTGCAGATTGCAGACGCTGCCCTGCTTGCTTGGCGTCCGACTTGTTTCGTGCGCCCGCGGATCAAAACATACGCCCGCAAGCCATTTGCCCATGCAGAAGCGATGTCCAGGCGAGTGGCCCTGATCGGGGATGTGGATAAGCACGCAGTGGAATACCCCGAGAGGGAAGAAAGAAAAGGGGGGAGGAGCGAGGTGGGAGGATAATGGGTAGGAGGGGGGCCAGCAGAATGGCCAGAGGCTTCTTGGATGTTCCTCGGGGTCCTTTCGGATGTCTATTGAACGCTTCTGTGAATCCTCCTGGAGCGTGTTCGGGGCCTCTTGGCGGTCCTGGGGTCTCTTTGGGCGTCTCGTAGTGACTCGAAAGCTTATGTGGGTCCTCCTGGAGCGTATTCGTGGCCTCTTGGCAGTCCTGGGGTTTCTTACGGCGTGTCTTAGTGGCTCGAAAGTTTATGTGAGTCTTCCTTGAGCGTGTTCGGGGCCTCTTGGCGGCCCTGGGGTCTCTTAGGGCGTCTCTGGGTGACTCGGGAGAGCCACTTGGGGCCTCCTGAATTTTTTTTGGGGGGGAGCCTCTCGGATACTTTTGGATGCTCTTGGGGCCTCCTGGGAGCCTCTTGGGGCACTGTTGGAAGCTTCGGAGGCCATCCTGGCGCCATCTTGGAGGAGATCGATCAACGAACGGGGGGGCTTCAGTAGGGTTCCCCCCAGGAGGCCAAAATGGTTCTAACACTTAGTTCTAACAAATGATCAGTGCTTCCTCGCCGAGACCATCTTGGACGCTCTAGATGCCCGCGAACCACCCCGCCCAGGTCCAAGGGGAGGGGGTCGAGGGAGGTGTCCAAACACCCACCCTCCTTGCCCGCAAGCTGTTCCGCTCACTTCCACCCGCCCTCACAACGCAGACTGCAGCATCCGAGCCTCAGCATGTTCAGCCGTCATTTATGGATTGACAGCTGTTCAAGCAGTGGCAAAACGTCCTGACGTGCTCATAGGCCCACCAAACACTGTTAGGAACAACTGTGTGGTTCCATGAAACTGTTTTCGAACACTTGTTGTTGGGACTGTCTTGTTCTAACACATCGGCTTTATGTTCTAAGAATATTGGTTTTGTTTTTAACATGCTTTGATTATTACAACATACCGTGGTCGGCCTATAGGAATGCCGTGGCGGTCTGTCCCTGCTCAAGCTATATCCCGGGAGCCAGACACAGACACTATGTGCGCGATGTTGAGGTGAGGTGCGCCACGCGTGCGAGGCGCGCCGCGTGCGCTGGGTGCGCCGGGCACCCCTGGGGCCCAAGCGTGCCCGGCACGCCTGGCACGCCAGGTGCGCCACGTGCTACCTTGCAGGCTATCGATGAGTTTGGCCTTCGTCATCATCGCGTCCTCCTGCTTCTTGGCCTTTCTTTTCGAAACTATGTTTTAAAAGTCCCGCGATAGCCCAGGTTATCGGGCTTGGCCCCCCTCCTTGTCCCCCCCAAAGATGACCTAACCTTGCCGGTTGTGCAGGTCCGGAGTGGGGGGGCGCACTCATACGCAGGGCTGCCCACAGCACGAAGTTTAGGTTATCAGCCGGCCCCCTCTCCCCCCCGGGATAACCCGGGTTATCGCCGATTCAAAAAACCCTGTCTCCTCTTGGCCGCGACTGGCTGCTTCGCGCTCGGTTCGATCGAATTGCCCCCACGTGCGCCACGTGTGTAGCATGCTCCAGCCTTGCCAGGTAGAGTGTGCCAGGTGCGCCCGCGCGCGTGACAGCACACATCGGGGAACACTGTCGGCCCCCACCGTCCTCAGCGAAGAGCAGTGTACAGTTTCCACGGGATGGCCATCATGGTGTGTGGTGGGCCTGCGCACACCAGGCGCTGTGCCAGCACTCCCGCTGCTTTTGTTCCAAAACCAATGCCAACTGACCGCGTGGTGGCCGCGCATGATCCAATTTTGGCCGCGAAATGCATGCTGTATTGTCGCTGGCCCGCCGTCCCTGCCAACAGCAGCAATACAAAGTGCTCGCGGGGCCCACGAGCATGGCCGAAGAATTCGCCCAGTAGTGTTTTTTTTTTCATTGTTTGTGTTGAAGGATGGTGGGGGTTGTCGTTGGTCATGGTTGACTGCCAGCCGCCTGGGGGAGGGGGTGTTCACTCATAGGGAACAGTGATACTAAGCCCCCCCCCGAGGGGGAGGAAAAACGATGGAGGGGGATTCCCGCTATAAGCCTCTCGCGCCCAGAGGGCTGGTGGGATCCCGCACGGTGGGCCCGTCATTCTGTGAAGCGCGCTTGCCAGCGGTGCCCCGCGTTATGGATCCGAACATCCCCCCACGACCCTGGGAACCCACGCAGAAGCCCTGGGGCACCGCAGGGAGCTCAACGGCCGTCGCTAAGCGCAGACCAAGATTCGACGAACACATTTTTGTTGATTCGCGGGTCGAGAGCGCACCTCTTCGGGTCGAAGCTAAGCGGGCCGCGCGAAGCTTGAATGAACCAGAGATGGGGGGAAAGAGACGACGGACACAAAACGGCATAAACATAGCTTGTGGCGGTCCGCGCGGTTCTCTTGGATCCACGCCCAGGATCTTGCGGTTACCGCTTCTACCGCCGCCTGCCCCCGCTGTCCTACCCCCGCCCCCCCGAGTCTTCGGATCTGCGACGGGCCCCCTTGGCGGCGCCCCCAGCGCCGCCCCAGGGGTCCAGCGCGAATGCAAGAAGTCCGCGCGTACCGCCGACAGTTTATGCTTATGCCGCGTTCTGTCCCTCGAGAGATACCTTCTTGCAGCGGTTGCCCAGACACCCGACGATGTGATTGTTTCAATCGGCGGCTCCACAGCTGCCGACCTCTTCTCAATGATAGTGTTGTGTCCCAGATAAGGTCTGATTAACCCTGGACTTGAGAAAGCCGA